CGAATGCGACACGGTTGCCAATTTTTGAGTAAACTTAGTGATGGGCTACGCTGAACAAGGCTGTTATGGTCATTAGGTTCCGCCGCTGAGTACAAATAGATGAAGTAAGGGGTTTTCGAAGCTTGGTAGCCTGGCCGGGCCCGGTTAGCGGTCATGAGGGTATGCTAACGACGGTCGTACCATGATACAAACCCGAGAGTGACAACACAGGAGCCCGAAGCAGACGATGATGGTGATCTCAGCAAGTAGATACCGTAGGATATCCTTAGCGCATAAGGTCTGTGATCCGATGATATCTTCCGCGTTATGCCCACTGCGGTCTTCTTTGCGTAGCCTGCTATGTGTTAACTCAGGAGCGAGAGAGGAAGACCCCACTGTTGGTTCGGATCTCATCCGCAGTCTGTGATATTGGTAATATGTTGATAAACAGATAGTGTGGCCGATAAGCAAGGGTGGATATGCTGCGTGGACATGCTAGGTTTGCAGTGCAGGCAGTCGCCGACCGCGAAACTTGCTTCCTACCCTGGATCTTACATGGGTGAAACCTATGAAGTGTGCGACCAGGGGGGTATGATTGTAACACTTCATTTTCATGGTATGTAATTATTATACCAACTGGACTAGGTATTGATGCAGCACTATATATGGTCTTTTCTATTAAGACGGATTTAACCTACTAACTGGTCAAGCTTCCACGACGCCCGTATCACTCGAGCCATTCGCGCAATACCACGCTCCATCTCTTCCTTCTGTACCGCTGTTAGCTCATTCAATCAGATAGTCTTGACAGGGTCTCATACCGTCGTCATGGAGAAGGAAAACCGAAAGTTGGTCGTCGAGGGTGTGGCCCCGCGCGCGTGGGTTGTAATTTTGTCCGGCCCCTCCCAGGGGTGGTAATAAGACCCGGGGGTCAGGAGGACCTGTAAGTGATTGTCAATACGTCCTCTGGAATGTCTACAAAACGACCTGTACTTTACTTACTTTGGCCTCGGCCAACTGCCGCCACAGCTGGTCGGCCACAGTCTGCTCCGGATCAACCACGTTCTCATCGTGCCGTAGCTGCTTAAAGGCAGAGTTCTGCGACAGATAAAAGCAGGCCCAGATGAACATACCACCGGTCGGTGGTACGAAGGAGAAAATAGGAATGTCACCGAGGTGGGCCACCAGGGCTCTGCTATCCTCCGCCGCGTCTTCAAGGCGGAAATGCTGCGAAAAGGCGTCAATCATCCAGTCACGTCGGCAACGGTACTCCACACTTAGCCCCTGCAGCCAGCCAAGATAGCCGTCGATACCCCAGCTTTGCATCAAGCGGAGGGTAAGCGCCTGTGAGAGGCCGGATGGATCCTGCGTCTCGACTTCGGTCGCACGAAGCAGTCGCTCCGTGAACACAGGATTAGCGACAAAGTAGCCGAGCCGCAGACCCGGTGCCAATGTCTTACTAAAGGACTCCAACCGGATGACACGGCCCTGGTGGTCGATTTGGAGCATTGACGGTGTCAAAGACCTCAAGAACTCATCGCTTCCGACGAGTTCAGGGTCGTCCATGGTGACCTGACTAGCATTGCATTCCGGGTACTGCAGGAAAAAGTATGGATCGTCCTCAACAATAATGACATCTGCTCAATTGTCAGCCCATGGCGCAGAGTCAGTAGTGCACGTGGTCAGCCGTACCGTACTCGACACACACATCGTAAATGTCTCGTCGACGTTGTATGCTCATCGTAACGCCGGATGGGTTTGAACCGACACTGACAAGGTAAAGCACGCGCGGCTGCCGAGCGCCAGGGTGGGTATCATCCCAATCGCGCAATGTTTGGGCGAGAGCATCAGCACACATGCCTTCCGCGTCTGATGGAACCGGGGCCGCCTTGTTACCCAGGGGGATCCAAAAGGCCTGCGCGGAAGGATAGGTGTAACTCTCACACAGGATGTAGTCGTCTGGCTCGCACAACAGGCCGACTACTTTACTCCATGCGTTGGTATTTCCTGAATGCAGCAGCACTTCCCAGTCTGCGTATGCCGGGCTATGCACCAGTTGGGTAAACTCGCGGCACCAGGCACGTAGTTGGGCATTGCCTGATCCCGACCCATACTGCAAGAAACCCTCAAGGGGCAATTCGAGCGAGCAGGTGCTATTCTCGGCTGTTGGAGTTGATGCGGTTATGGTGACTCTGTGGAAAGGGAAAAAAGATGGGTGCGGAAGGCCTAAAAACCCGTGTCAGAAGGTGTATACGTGTTCAGCTGATGCCAGTCACTCCAGCAGCGTACAACCAAAACTACTCAGTTCACCGAGGTTATGTAGTTGGCCTCTTGGTGGCCCAGATATTGGAATATTGACCAATATACTATGGACAAGAGAACGGATGCCAAATGGTCATAAGACAAAGGATTGAATAGGGAGGGCAAACGGGTCATAGCAGCAGCAAATATGTCACAAGCGGAAACAAAATCCAGAAGATGGGGGCATCTAATCGAGACAGGGCAATAAAAACACATAGCTTGACTTGTAACATACCTCCTGCCAGGCTGACCATGTCTTCAACGGCCATAAACCGAATAATGTCCTTGAGGGGGCTTGGATGACGCGCCCGGGAGCGTAAGTTGATATGGTGGCTAAAGTCAACCGCCGTGGGGAGTTCGTTGGTGGATTGGGATTGGGTCATTGTATCTGTGGTGGAGGAAAGATAAGACGATAATGCACAGATGAAAGGAGGGAGCAATATGAAGTAGGATTTGTATGAGAATTAAGTCGCACATAATGAAGAGGATCGTCGAGATTGACGACGCTCCTCTCTTTTCTTATCATACGCGGCCCGAGATCCGAAGTGGCGGACAGGCAAGCTGGGCATGTCAGGGCCAGAGATAGACGCACCCGATAAATACTGACTGCTTGCAACCGACTGGACAACGAAATCATGAGGGGAATTTCAGCAACTTAAACCTTCATGGCATCTGGAAAGGCAGACATCGCGTTGGCAGAGAGGTCGCCGGATCCTCCGCCGCTTGGGGATGACAAGCATCCCGGCATGGTTGTCGACCTGGTCCACGCTAGTGAAGCTGAATATACACCGGACCAGTACCGCCGGCTGGTGCGCAAGGTGGACTGGATCATCCTCCCGTTGATGTGGATTATCTCTGGCACGCAATACGCTGACAAGGCATCAATCTCGACCCAGGCCACATTTGGCCTCGAGCAAGACACCCATCTGGTGGGTCAACAGTACTCCTGGCTAACCTCGATATTCTACTTGGCTTTCCTGGTCAGCGAGGCCCCCGGTAATTATATATTGCAGCGTGTCAGTGTTGGCCCTACCGTGGCCGTGTCTATGTTCCTGTGGGGTGAGTCTGTCCACATAATATGCTGAGAGAGCTATCCACTGATGATAGCTCGAAGGCATCATCGTGTTGTGCATCGCCTTCGCCACCAACTTTGCGGGTCTAGCAGTGTTGCGATTCCTTGAAGGTGTCACTGAATGCACCACCTACCCAGCCCTTCTGCTGATCACAGCCACATGGTATACCAAGGAAGAACATGCAATGCGCTCGGTCATCTGGGGCAGCGCTAACGCTGGGATGGACGTATTGACTAGCTTGGTTAACTATGGTATTGGCCGCCGCGCTGAGACACACCCAAATGGAATGGCTCCCTGGAAGGGCATCTCCTTCTTTCTAGGGGCGTTGACCATTGTACTTAGCGGCATCGCCTATCTTCTCCTAGGTACACCACGCGAGGTACGCTGGCTATCCCCTGAGGAAAAACGCATGGCTGCGGCGCGAGTGGTGGCCAGTCAAACTGGCTCGGATGCCCAGAAGCGCACTCTGGATTGGAAGCAGGTGGCCATCGCCTTCCGCGACCCTCAGACCTACTTCTTCTTCTTTCTCGTCGTTGTGAATTCCATTCCCAATGGTGGCACAACGGCTTTTGGAAACCTCGTGTATGTCTCCTTTGGCTTTACGGCCCTGGAGACCATTGTGAAGGGTAAAATTCCACAACAGCTGCTATCGATCGCGTGGTTTTTGATCGCTGGTTATATAACATTGAGAAAACGGAATTCCCGCTGTGCGTTGTCCCTGTCATCCTTAACTGGCCAAGGCACTAACCCAGGGGTGGCAGTCTATATTATGATCATTTCGGTGATCCCTGCCTTCTGCGGTATGCTCGCCCTGGCCCTGCTCCCTCACTCCTCGAGCCTGCTGTGGGCGCGCTGGGGCGTGTACTTCATGACCAGTGTGGGCAATCTGGCCGGTCCTTTGATATGGACTCTCTTGCCATCCAACGTGGCAGGGCGGACAAAGAAGTCGGTTACAGGCACTGTGCTATTCATTGCCTACTGTGTAGGAAACTGCGTCGGCGCCCAGGTCTTCCGAGCTAAGGATGCGCCACGATACATTCCCGCGATCGTAGTATGCTCTATTATGTACGGCCTGGAGATACTTTTGATGATCGCGTGGCGCACCTACTGTAAGTATCCATCGAGCCAAAAGCTGCGTCCGGTGCTCAAAGCTAAAATTGCATCTAGGTGTTTGGCAGAATAAACGTCGCGCTTCTCTGATTGCCGCCATGGCCATGACTGTCCAGGAGTCAGCGCATCAGGGCCGCCTAAATGCAGAGTCAGACATGACAGACTACGAGAACATTCACTTTGTTTACAGTCTGTAGTGGGCGAATTTGTGTGTTTACCACTCGAGTCTAATGAATACGTGGTCCTTTGAGTTGGCTTCCTATGTATCATGATCACCCCTTACTGGATATAGCTAGAATCTGATTTCACTTTGTTGATATCTTCATCTGGTATCCTAGATTATGAAGAGTGATGTCCGCTATTTTATTTTAACGATATGCTAATATTGTATCCGGCCGAAACTGGCCCGCCTTCATCGCGTACATTTGAATATATTTGAGTCCCCCCTTCCTCACCCACCCGTTGCGTCCCTCTCCGGTGGCCCATATGCCCTTGCCCACCATCTCTTTCTTAATTTATCAACGCATTTATTCGGCAATGGAGAATCACGTTTCGTGGGAGCAAACGCCCTGCGAGCTCAACCTGGGCAGTCTAGGTCCGATCTGTGGCCTACAACGAATTGACGACAAGGTTCATCGTTATGTCCGCGTCCCCTACGCTCTTCCTCCCATCGGCGCGTAACGCTGGCAGAATCTACGCCCTTTACCATTTGACTACTCATATAGCTATCCAGATGAAACAAGATTGGATGCCACCATCTTCGGTCCTGTTTGTCCGCAGGCCTATCTCTCCAGCAGTGCCCGGAAGACTCCTGGTTCCAACTGGACTTTAGTCAATGCGCCTCCGCCAGGACAACGCCGGCCAGTGGTGTACCGAGACTGTTTTGCCATGGGCGATCTTCTAAATGAGCTCGTAATATACGATTAGCATTTCTCTTAACTTGAACTGATGTCCAGATCTAATTTGAGCCTCTCACACCCAGGCCTAAGCCGTCACCTATATATGAATGCCATCTAGAAAACAGCATGCTATCCTATATATGATGAAAAGAAGTGAGTAGGGGCATTTATCCACTACACCATAGCGATCATAGTTTTCAAGCAGGGAAACCTTCACAACGGGACAAAAGTTTGATATTATTCAATAAGTTTATAATCAGTATTATTTAAAAGCACTTTATACACTGAATACAATAGTATAATTCTTATTTTTTTTATTCATTATCCTATAGAGTTCTAAGTATGTAAAAACAATAATATTCATTTCTGAATCTATTCCATACATATAATAAAAATCTAAATCAGATTAATATTTTTTTTATAAATACTTAGCCTGATTAAATTTATTGGGTATTGCTAGAATGAATATTATAATAATAACTATCCTACTTCCTCTCAACGAGCTCTCTGAGGTAGATTCTCTTTCTAATAACGACAATCGGACATTCTATGTCTAGTACAAGTGTGGACAGATCCCAGGCCTCTTTATAGTCACGTTGTGATCTTAGGCAAGACGTTGAATCACAGGTGGCCGCGAATAATATCTATCCCACCGAAGGGAGTCATCGAGAATCACATATCCAGGCGTCTGCGACTCCCCCCAGCATACTTTCATCCAGCCAACATCCTCCTCTGTACACCCTTCCAGTGGCTCCTCTTCTGGGCCAGGTCCCCCGCGTTCCGCCAGCTTTTCCTCATCTAACTCCTCCGCTTTCCATTCGGCATTGACTAGACGAACGAATCCTCCGTGTATATCGTTGTCTGGCGTGCTCAGGATTGAATCCAAGGCTTCTTGGTCCACCATGATGAAAAAGCGGTATCTACCATTTTTCAAATGCCATAGGTGGCTGGCAACAATTTCTTGTTCCTCTTTCACCGCAGTCACAGCCCACTCATTGAATTTGTCACGTAGCGAGGCCACCGTCGTACCCTCGAAAGATCGATCTTCCAAGACCGTTGGAGTAAATCTGGCGAGGAGATCTAGGCCGTTGTAATACTGAAGGTATTTTTTGACGCGCTTATGGAACCGGATCATCAATTTCTCCCAGTCGGAGTCACTTTGATACGTGCATCGATAGATAACGAAACCCCATAATTTAAAACCATCTTTGTTCAGAAGTCTCTCCAGCTCGTCGGCATCATCCATCCCGCTCTCAATCTCGGGAGCGCGTTTAGAGGGGTCCTGTCGCGAAGCCAATTGTGTCGAGAACAGGGTGGAAGGGATGAAGGGCGGTGTGATATGCGCAAGGCGGATCTGGGGAGCAGGAGAGCGAATAAGACGGCGCAGGCGAAGGAAGCTTGGTATGTTGCTTCTGAAGTGCGGGCGGCGGAGAACACTTCTTGCAATCATGAATGCGAAATGTCTGGGCTGATGGTCACGTCACTGGGTGATACAGGAGCGGAAAGAGTTGTTCCGGAAAGTAGGTGGACGAGCTGGGGACTGCCTCATCATAACAGGGGCCTCAGTCATATTTGACCCTTCCCTCAACCTAGCCTGGCTGCCTCCCCGCATCAGGCCAGTGTGGCGGCAGGTCGAAAGTGGCCGGGCAGTGGAGCAGCGGGAGCTCGTCGGGTGTAGCTCCAGAGGCAAGCTCTTATTTTTACCAGCTCTCTCCCCCTTTTCCGAATCCTCGCAAGGTGATTAGGGGACCTGGTTATTTAGACTTCGCTGGTCTATTTGGTTATCCTGTCTTGGTTGTCCTCTGTAGGAAAGGGTAATTAGTGCTTAAATTTATTTCTTCTTCTGGGTTGGGGGGGATGGGGAAGCAGGGAGGTTTTCGGCCGCGAAGGAGCGGGTGGGGATCATCAATACACAGGAGCCTCTTAACCACTTCATTACAGGAATTCTGACCTCCCCGGTAACATACGAAATACTATAATAGCCACACCATAGCGATCATGTTTTACTATCACCGAGTAACAATGATTCTAGCTATTAATTACACCTCCTGCTATTTGACCCACCCCGATACCGCCCAAACTGGAGAAGAGAAACTCTTCCGGCTACGCCAATCACTACGGAGCGCTGAAAGCATTATATTTATACAGAAGTACAGGGTTTCGGCGGATAAAGCCGGTGTATATATCTGTGAGCAGGTGTGATAACCCATTTAGAGGGTCGAGCCCACATTAGTCCATGGCGGTCCGTCCGAGTGAATGAGTCCTCCGTGATGTTTGGCAAGACTGCTTCACCCAGAAGCATGATTGCGCAACAACCTTTCAACGCCTTTATCTCTCTACCATGTAGACCAGCCATCGTTCGACTGGCTTTTATGCTCTTCTGCGGCAGAAGGGTCTTCTTGTTCCACCCCCGCTATGGACATCGTGCCACCTTGATAGACTGGGATGCCAGTTTGAAGAGATCCGCTCCTTGCCCGGTTCTGCTGCCGAGACCCACACATCTACATTATCCTCTGTCGAACCGAAATCGAAGAATGACTCAGGTAGTGATGCTGCACGTCTGGCAAGATGTGGTGCTGTTCTTATCAAGCTGTTCACCTTGATCGACATCCTTGACTATGAAGGTAGCCCGTTCGAAACACGGAAAACGTAAGCAACAATTTACGACTGACCCCTCGTACGCAGTGGATTCGACTTACCCGTTCCCTGAGCAGTGGAAGAATCAACTTCTATTTCGCCGGTCGAGTTGTCCATCGGCTCGAATGCGCCACTTTCTGGCGCCGTGTTCAAGATACCCAGTCAGAGCATAGTGCTGCCGACCTCTTAGTTGGATACTTGGATTACAACGATCTGGCAGGATACCGCCGAGAATGTGATCAGGAACGGCGAGCTCGGCGCCTGGGACACACGCCAGTGGTCCATAAGTCAGCTGGCGAAAATTGGCTCCTTACGAGAGATTGGAAGAGTGATCCTTATCTGGTCTGTGTGCTCTTGTCTCTCGGGCAGCTGCAGCGGCGACTGCGCCACCCTAAGTACCAGAACTAGTTCCGGCACCCCAACCAACTTATATATCTCTGGTAGCCTCGCAATAGAACCTTCAACCGCAGCTGGCCGCACCTCTCTCTTCAAGTCTGCCCAAACTTGCCTCTAACACTATTTACGCTGGCGAGACTGCGAATAGTAATGATGAATGATGACTGCGATCCTAAAGGTCACTGCTATAACGTCTGCATTATCCGTACGTCGTCATACCATGCTTGAGCATATGACGCTAACCTTCCTAGACGATCGCTCTGGATCTCCATATCAATTCGCCTTTCTCAGCACTGGCACAACCATCTGTAGTCAGCCTTCAACTAAGCTGTCATGTGATTTGTGCGATGCCGGCGGGTTCCTCAGGCTAAACATTACCCCGCCCCATCCTCCTCGATTTCCCCTCATTTATGCCTCCAGCTATTTTTCTTCCTGCATTCTGTTGCATACGTCGCCACATCACCATCACCAATAAAATTGTTAATCGAGCGTAGTCATGCCTGTCTTCCACGTCGGTGCGTCTCAATCTTGTCAATTATCGGATATCATTGTACACAACAATAACATGTCGCCTAGTCCTCTTCCGCTTGAAGCCCGGTGTTGCACCTGCTGAGCTCGAGGCTTGGGCCCGCATGGGTAAGGGCATGGTTGGAAAGATTCCCGGTCAGTACTCACCAGGGCGAATGTGTGACGACTAGCAAACCTCATACGTGACATTTTTCCAGGACTGCTGGAGTTCCATGCCAATCCCCCGTTGGCAATGACCGCATCCCGCGCAAAGGGCTACGATATGGGCTTGGTGGCTATCCTGGAGAAGCCTTCCGATTTGCAGGTCTATGCAACTCACCCAGCTCACCTTGAGTAAGTCCACCTAGAGCTGTGGAGACCTCAGTCGGGAAGTTGGTAGTAGCTAACGGTCAATCAGATTGCATGAAAAGCGCGAGCAATTATGTGAGGATACTTTGGCCTACGATCTGGAGTACTAGATTTATCTTCTAGTGGGGCTTTCTCAATAAGTCGGTGTGTACTGAGTGTTCTGCACGCCGGGGCTATTTGTTGGGATTGTTGTGGGCTGGATGGTCATGACCAAGCTTATCCACATCATTTGCTCACCTACTAGCATGAAGTATAGCTTTCTGCACCTTTCCTGTGTATATCTTTGTTGAATCTCGGAATGGGGATGGATGAGGTACTGGAGTGAACAATACCGCAGGAAGCAGGCATAGATTTTCTCCATATGTCCTAGCAGGTCCACGTGCTCCATGCAACTGTGTACACAATAGCGAGAATACGCGTCTTCAATGGTGCGCTTCCTGTATGCTTGCGTTCCTAGTGCGGATATAACAGCCCGAAAGATCCGGGGGTAAGTGGCACACCTCAGCCCCCAAAGCTGGCCAGATAAAGAAGACCATCGGGATTGTATCAATCTAACAGTAAATTGCCAAGGCTACGGGGGCACAGCTGCTGGTTCAAAGCAAAAGCAAACGGGAGAACCTCGGGACTGTCGATCGGGGAAAGTACGAGCCCGACCCTTGAAATGATCCTAGAAGTGTCTCCTTAATTGGTATCATATAGGTTTCCCTTCTGTCAGTACTTCGGTATTATTGCCAAATAAGTGCCGGTGCTGCGCCAGGGGTGATAAGTATTGTTGAGTAGCTGTAGCTGTGACCACCCCGTCACTGCCCCGCCAAGTATCCTGTCCTCTTTTTTCGATCAACCTGTGAAGAATATGGCTTTTCACAGAAATGGTTGCTTACCATACGTATGCAAGGATGGCGCCAAAATCGCTTGGACAGCTGGACGTGGGATGGGCTACGTCCGGGGCGTGGGGGCACCAGGCTGGGGTGGAATCTGGGGTTAGTGCGGAGAGTCGGACTTGGGCCGAGTTCTCCAGTTGCTACTGCATCAGATCCCCATTGGAGTGCTGGATGGGTACACTTCAGCTATTGGCTGTTAAGCTTTGATCGACGCGGTAAGTCTGGGCAGACCATTTGATGGCTGTAGGCTTACTCCTCGCCCATGACGAAACACAATGCGGGGAAACTCATGTTTTCTGTCTCAAAGCAGTATAAATACAGGACCACTGCATGGCAGCTGAATCTGTTCAGAGGAGCAAGAATGTTGTCCCTACGAGGAAAGCCCCTGGTCTATCTGGTCACCGTCGTGAGCTCGACCGGCTTCTGCCTGTTCGGCTACGACAATGGCTTGATGGGCCAGGTCATCTCAGAGCCTAACTTTCTCAACATGATTGGAAATCCAGATGCAGCTGTGCAGGGGCTTGCGGTATCGTCCTATGACATCGGCTGCATGCTAGGGGCATTGGCTGCCGTGCTTATCAGTGAGCAAATTGGGAGGAGACGGACGATCTTGCTAGCTTGCATTGTGCACATCGTGGGAGACATTGTGAACGCCTCTTCCTTTTCCCTCGCCCAACTGTTAGTGTCGCGTATCATCCTTGGGGTTGGTCTCGGGCTCTTCACTAGCGCTTCCCCAGTCTGGCTAGCTGAGACCGCTACGGCCCAGATGCGTGCTGTCATGGTGGCCGTGCAGCTGACCTTCCTTATTATCGGCACGAACATTGCCTACTGGGTCGACTATGGACTTGGCTTCCTTGACAATGAGATCAGTTGGCGCGTGCCCTTCGCCTTGCAGGCCATCTACCCCATCGTCGCCTTTGGCTTCACCTTGGTGCTCCCCGAGTCCCCTCGATGGCTTGCTTCCCACGGTCATACTGAGGCTGCCGCCGCTGCTCTATCTGCATTCCGTGATCTCCCCGTGGACCACGAGTTAGTCCAAGCTGAACTGCAGGATATTGCTTCGGCAATTGCCCTGGAATCAGACGGCGGATCATGGGGGAGCTTGTTCCGCCAAGGTCCTAGTAAGGTGCGTACGCGTGTTATTATCGCCTGCGCGGCCAACTCGATGCAATCCTACACCGGGATCAATTTTGTGGAGTATTACTTCCCTTTCATCTTGACGAATTCGGTCGGACTTGGTACCAATCTCGCGAACCTTGTGTCGGGCTGCTCACAGATCTGGTTCCTCCTATCATCCTTTGTGACGTGGTACTACATCAACAAGCTGGGCCGCCGCCGACTGTTCTGTTTAGGAAATCTCGGGATGGGGTGCTGCATGATTGCGGTTTGCATTACTCTGTGGAAAGACAGCCAAGTGTCGGTCATCATTACAGTCGTCTTTTTCTTCCTTTACCTCTCCTTCTTCACTTGGGGATGGATGTCCAACATGTGGACATACCCTGCCGAGATTCTACCACTGCATGTGCGGAGCAAAGCGCTGGCGCTGTCCGTCTTCTTCCAGTGGGCCAATCAGTTTTGAACAGTGGAGATTGCGCCCGTCACGATCGACAACATCGGCTGGCGGACGTATATTATTTGGGCTATTCTCAACTTTGTTTGCTGTGTGGTTGTGTATTTGTTCTTTCCGGAAACGTCGTCCCTCACGCTCGAGTCAGTCGATTTCCTATTTTCGTCATCCAGCAACGTCCGCGAAGTGGTCGCACGCAGCGAACAGATCTATTTGAATCATTCTCGTCTTGATGTCGGAGCGGCGGCCGCGGCGGCGGTGGGCGGGGATGGCAAGGAGAAGTCTTTGGAGGACGGGGTGGCACAAGTGACGCACGACGAGAGACACGTAGCGGTGTAGACTGTGCATTTCACAGTTCAAGAACTGAAGCTGAGTTATGCGAGATCTGAAAGCAGAAAGGATATTCTCGGGAGTATGTATCGATCACATTATATACTGGAAATTGCCGTTTGCCATGTCGTTATGCTGTTGGAACTCGGATGAGTATTGGATGACCGGACGGATTCTGTAGTACAAGACACTGGTAGCTTGGGGTAGCAGGTCCTGTTGAGGATGAGCATGAAGACCGGTTTTCAGATTATTGAAGCTTGGCCTAGTGGTATTTTAACAGGCCCTTCTTACGAGGAGAGACCGCCACAGCGACCGTACGGATCACCCGCATAGACCAAACAGTCAGCAAAATTCTTCGCGTTCTCTTATCTCGGCCGGTCCATGTCGTTTGGTACGTACATAGTAGAAATGTCAGGACCGCAATTGTGGCAAATTTTGCATTGTTCCCTGAGATGGTCTGGAACAGGGGGCGGATGTCTCTGCCTGGACCAAGCCAATCCTATGCAATGGTCCCCTGTCCATCCGTTGATCGCGGACTGGATTGTTGTCGCCTTTCCTCGGTCCCGTCGCGGTGCCTCTTCCGGCTTTGGAGACCAGGATGAAAAGGCTGAAGTTATTATTCACCCTCTACTCTCAATGATGAGATCATAATAAAAGCTTTGATTGTGAGCTCAACTTGGCGCCTAATTCATAGTCCCATATGTTTGTTTCCCACTGCCTCTCCTAGAAGAGCGATGATGCCTGAGATTTCCATGGGCATACACGTCATGATGACCTCAAAGTGCAGTGGATCCCCCGGCTTGGCCATAAAGCTTGGCACCCAGGGCCACGATGCTTAGCCGGGGAGATTTACCCAGCCTTATGATCCTACCGTATTCTAGAAGGTTTTCTACTTGAATGTTACCTTCTCATTACCCTCAACCATGGCACCCGTACGGTCTGTTTCGTCTTCCTTTCTTTCTCCATCCGTCGACATGCCCGCTGATGACCACCCCAGATTTCGCCATGACCCCAGCTGGTCCTATCACCAAGGTGTAGCCGGTTCGATGCTCAAAGCTTTCCTCCGTACCTTTACTGCCCTACACATGAAATGGCCGCTATCTCTCAAGCCACACCACGAGTCGGATCGATTCTTGTTGATTAACCCCGCCACCCCGGAGTGTTACACCGGAGTGATGGTGGATGAGGCCGTCAAACCCGAGACCATCGGTGCCACCTGGTATCCTGAGCCCTTTACTCGCGGCACCTCTCTTCCGGATGGCGAATATGTTATCTTGCACCTCCACGGTGGTTCTTACATTCTGGGTGACGGTCGCTCCTCCTCCTGTAACTTTATGGCCCAGACCCTCCTCGAACAGACTCCCGCCAGCTACATGCTCTGCCCCCAGTATCGACTCGCCTGCAACCACAACGGACGGTTTCCGGCTCAACTGCAGGACGCACTCGCAGCATACGTGTATCTCATTCACACCCTCCAGATCTCGCCCTCTCAAATCGTACTCAGCGGCGATAGCTCCGGCGGTCACCTCGTCCTGGCGCTTCTCCGGTATATCGTCAATTTCAACCGGCCAGATCTGTTACCAGCGCCGAAATGCAGCTGGGCCTGGTCTCCTTGGTGCGACGTACCTGCTGCAGTTGACCCTAGTGCCTGGACGCACAGCACCAACTACAAAACCGAGTATATACCAGGCTCTTTCCCAGCCTGGGGAGCCAAACAGTTCCTTGGCGATTTGAAGATAACTCCAGAAGTTGAGCCGTACGTAGCTCCCATTTGGCATCCGTTTGTTGTTCCGTCGCCGGTGTTGGTCATCACCGGCGGTCGCGAGGTTCTTTGTCAGGATCACAAGAAGCTAGCACAAGAGTTTCAAAAGCTGCCCGGAAATGAGACATCCATCGATCTGGTAGTGGAGGAGAAAGTGCCGCATGATGTGCTGATGATTGGGTGGATTATGGGGTTCAAGGATGAAGCTCGTCATTGCGCTACCAAGGCTGGGAAATTTCTCCGTCGGGTGCACTCGTCATCTGGTAGCAAGGAAGCCGATGCTCAGATGTGAATTGAGTTTGTTTCCTATTGTATATATATCTATCCTGTACTCGTTATTCCCTTTTCTTGCGTTGCGTTGTTGATTGGCTCGAGGGTTCGCTGGCGTGTATGTCTATATTTCCGACGAACAATGACTTTTGGCTCCCTTCTATTTTGTTGTCCTTGACGCCGATATTACTACCGTATTTTGTTCCATCCTGAAAACCTGTTATCCAATAGGAATGTGTAGCGATGTAAGCGGGTTAGAACAATCTGCGACCGTAGAGTTGGCGTTGAATGCGATTGTATATTTTTCAATCACGGGTACAACATGATTGGCACCATCCCTGAACAGACTGTTCACTCACTCCTCTAGGAGACATAGAGTATTTGTACTACGTACTGCTTCTTATCCATGGTAACTTCATCCTCGACTAATAGTAATTAGCAACGACTTTAGGGGTGACGGGCAAAAGTAGTGGTGCTCGGACAGTGCTGAGGACCTTGGGTGAATCCTCAACAGTAATAATAACAGGACCCGACCCTTCCACATCTTCCTACCTGCATGCCTCTTTTTCCACTTTTTAACCACAATAGATGGCGATTGTTGTGGGGGCAAGAAGGACGACTGGAGTCTCTATTTTGAAATGAAAGTTGAAGCTTCATTGATCTCAGTGAGTATGTACATTTAGCGTAGCACTGCTACATTTATTTCCCCTTTTCGCCCCTCCACAATATCCCCCTTCTCTGCGTCGATAAACATGTTATTGATGAACTAAAGGTTGGCAGACAACACTCCCGCTCGTTGAGCCGTGAAGGTGGCAATCAGATCCATCAATGCCGGCGACAGCGCATCGTATGTCTCGAGACCCAGGGAGTGGAACTTGGAGCGCACTTCCTCCATACCCTTGGGGTGGAAGCCCTGCTCGATGATGGAGGAGACGAATCCCGCGAACTGAGGCTCCTGCCAGCCCTTCTGATCGGACAGCTCGGCGTGCACAAAGTCCAGGCCCTTGAAGGGGTGGTCCTTCTCGATGCGACCGAACATGTGCACACCACAACCCTTGCAGGCATATCTCTGAATGGCGGCGGACGCGTCAACGATGGACAGCTTCTCTGCGTGTTCTGTGACGGAGACGGCGTCGCGGGGAACGACTCCGACGATGGAGAACAGCGAACCGGCAGGCTTCCAGCACTTGGAGCAGCCGCAGGCGTGGTTGTGAGCGACGTTGCTGGCCAGCTTAACAACGACCTTGTCGGAAGAGCATTTGCAGTAGAGGTTACCACCGGGGAAGTTGGGGTCCCCTTTGATGATGCCGTTGTCGAGGAGAGGGTGGAGCGAGGGAGACATGTTGGATGGATGGGTTCTGAAGGGTATGCGACCGTGAGGAAGATGGATGATTGAACTGGTAGATGATCAGTATGCCAATGATTGCCTTCTCTACCATTTCTACTCTTCTATATAGGCCAGGAAGAGCAGGGATGTTCCCCTCACTCTGTCGCAATCACTTTCCCTCCATCCCCTCATGCGGGGAGAAGTGAGGGAACGCGTCGGCGAGGTTCCCGGCCCTGACCGTATTGGCATCAATCATCCCTTGTTTTCCCACGGGAAAACATTACTCGACTGGGACAGCGGACACGAGCGACTCCTACCGGTGGAGATATGTCGAGTCGGTCCGATCGCGACCGAGATTTCCACTGAATGAGGAGTGATGAGGACATTTGGGATAGAGCAATCGCAAATACCACCAGGCGATGCAGCCGGTTCACACGGTTCGCCTTCCCGAGACCTCTTCTGTCCTTCCCTCAAATCCTTCGGAAAAGCCGCCCGTATCCCCATCGTTGCGTTATCCACGGATATCAACCCCTATCAGCAATTGTAATGTCATATTCGAGTGATATTTGCAACTTTGCCCCTTCTCCCCTTCGAACATTTTTGTAAGATAGAGATCCTCGTCCTGATAACAGCAGACACTTGTTTACTCCCTACTCGGAAATATACCAAGGTTTGAATGCGACGGGTGCCATTTTCCCTTCATGAATGACTCCCATATTCACTCTACATATCTACATAAGCATATTCAAGCTTCAATGTAAGAACCACTCAGATTGAGAGGAGAAGCTACATGGTTTGTCCATTACCGCCACCACATTGACGCGCTCGCCGACCGCAAATTGTCAACGATATGTGGTAGAATTGAAGAGAATATCGAAGATTTTGGCAGTAATACCTTGTCCGACCCCAGTATTCAGGTTAGTACCAGACTCTTCAAGTTTTAGGACTGGATGATGAGTAGGACAATCGAAAGGGCTTTTCCTCGCCGCGACTACAGCCTTGTCACTCAGCCTTGCGCGATCGGCGGCAAGAGTTCCTGTGTATTGCTCTGCGTCGAATGACGACAGATGCAGCTGGCTCTTGAAAAGATAGCGTTAGCGTATCGTGGAATGGAGACCGATTTTGGGCTACGAAGGGTCCGACATGCCTTTTCCCGTCAATTAGCGGCACGGTGCGCCAGCAGGGAAGGCTTTGCTCTGAAGAATTTGAATGAAACCTACGACGAGTTTGTGCTGGATGGTATAACTATAAAGAAAAGGCAATACTTCGAGTCAGGGATATGGGATGGAACACTGGCAGACTATGAGATTTTGCTGTGCAACGTTGGACTTGTGAGATGGTATGATCTCCGTGAGTGCGCGGGGCAATGGAGCGGGACGGCGATGGCGATAGAGTTCGACTTCCCTCTCCACCATCTCGAAGATCCGACGCATCGTCGGAGGGGACGATTTCTTGAAACGGCTGAGAGGTGCGATCTCAAACCTACCACTGCAGCTATTGTCGAATTATACGGAGTAGTCCCCCACCTGTCCAGTAATTGGGCTTTATCTGCTGGCTCCCGTTGGTGGCGCGGAGAACGGGCCGGGATAGTGCTCTCCCGTGTGCGCAGAAGGCGAAGGGATGATCATGGTCTCCTCAAGCTGACACTATCCGCAGTGGGGACCTCACCGAGGCTGCCATCAGACAAATGTTGTGAAACGCTCAGAGCAGGTTTACCCCACGAGGCTAAAGTAGATCGGCCGCGACGGCGCGGCCAGCGTGGTGCCAACCAAAAAGCCACAACGAGTCTGAGTGGATATTCCCCCTCTCCTGAACGACGAAATGGATCCGATGCCTTGCGGGCACAGGCGGCTGTTCCCAGAGAACATAACGAATGGCCGACCTTGATGTGAGGACCCGTCGCCAATGGGGTTTTCACCGAATGGGCTGACGAGGCAGCTGAGGACGCCTCTATGAAATATCTTGCCTGCAACCTTGTACACTGATTGCAGGAAGACATGGATTGACATGCAGGGCCAATGTACGACTGCAGAAATGTCATCGTGCAGATCCCTCGGCCAGCTTCAGCTGCACACAGCCCCGCAGAAACCCCTCTTGCAAGCACCGGCTTGGTCAGCAGGCCAGGTTGGTCTATAAGAAGTGTCAAGGGTTGAGAGGTCCCTGTCTCCTCCGGTCAGGTATCACATTTTGTATGTTCGCTGGATGACATGGGTTCGATATCACAATCGACAGGGGCGCTTTACCGACCCACGCCTGCCGACATTACCATCAACAACCACCAGCCAGGTGACCCTGAGAAAGTCCTGTTTAAGAATGTTCGCATCTTAGACTCGACAGGCAGCCTACCTTATCAAGGAGACGTTCTAATCCAAGGAGAACGCATCGTGGCTGTAGGACAGGTTGATGAGACAGCCGCGACAGGTGCCTTGGTCATCAATGGAGGCGGCAGTAAGACGCTGATGTCGGGCCTGGTTGATGCTCATACTCACCTAAGCTTCAACAATGCAAAAACCCTCGATGGGCTGACCACTATGCCACTGGAAGAGCACGTCATTGCTACCGCCCACTCGGCTAAAACCTATCTTGACTGCGGCTACACCATGTGTTTTGGCGCGGCCTCTGCGCGTGCCCGACTCGACATCGCCATCAAGGCCTCTATCAAGTCCGGCCTCATTCCGGGACCGCGAACCCTGGCTAATACGCCAGAGATTACCACTACCGGGGGCGCCATCGTCCCTGACATATCAAAGTATGCAGACGGCCCTCACGAGATGCGGAAGACAGTGCGGTCATTCATCGAGCTGGGAGCGGATAACATTAAGCTCAGCATAACCGGCGATAACATCACTGACAGCATGCCGAGCGACGAGACGTACTTCACCCTGGAGGAGACAGTTGCTGCCGTGGAAGAGGCCCACAACCGAGGAAAGCGAGTGTGCGCCCATGCGCGTAGCAAGGAATCTGTCAAATTGTGCCTCCAGGCAGGTGTGGACGTGATCTACCACGCTAGCTTCAACGATGAAGAGAGCTTGAATATGCTGGAGCAGCGAAAGGACTCGGTCTTTGTAGCACCGGCCATCAATCTGCCTCTTGCCACTTGTGCGGGCGATGCCATTCCCTTCGGGTTCACGGTCGAGATGGCCGAGCAGAAGGGTGTCAAGGAAGAGGTGGAAGCAGCTTGCAAGTCCATGAGAGAGATGCACAGAAGAGGCATCCGGGTGCTGCCAGGCGGGGATTATGGTTTTGCGTGGGCGCCGCATGGCACGTACGCGCGGGACTTGCATCATTTCGTTAAGCATTTTGGTTACACGCCAATGGAGAGTATTTTAGCGGCCACTGCCCTGGGAGGGGAGATCATGGGGTATCCAGAGCAATTGGGCAAAGTGCAGCCAGGGTATTTTGCCGACGTGATATTAGTCGATGGGGATCCTTTAGCAGATATTACTGTTCTGCAGGATACCTCGCGGCTGCATGCCATCGTGATCAACGGCCACATCCACAAGAATGTCTTATCGGGTCCTGCTTAATGATTGGGACGAGTTGGCTGGATCTGGCGAGGATGTTTTCATTCACTAAAATGTATATTTCCGGCGTGTGTAGTGTATTTACATGCTAATATTGCATCAGTGTGGTGGACTGGCCCAGACAACCATGAAGCTGAGTTTACACTAAGCCCGAGCTCAACTCCTAGAGCAGAAGTTGTGCACATTACCCAAGGGGGAGATACCATAAGTCTTTGCACATGCTTCCCAATCAACTCACGTTTCGAGTGCCACCAGAGAGTTCAGCGGAGCTAATCCAACAATTGAGGGGTTGACCGAGTAGGTCGAGTAGACTAGCCCGAATAGCACAAGCCACGGCGAGGTGTGGGGGGAGGGGCAAATGTAAGCACTAGGAGGAATTCGAGAACAACGGAGTGCGGAAACTGATACGACCAGTGTAACAATAATTCATAGAGTCGCGTAGCTAGCTTGTCCCTTTGTTGGGCCACCGAGGTAGTATAGCCATGCACAAGGCTGATTGCCATGGTTGCATAGGCATTGTCATTATTTGCTCGCACGGGATGAAAGAATTTGTCGTTCGCTCCTACCTAGCTAGATTCTTTCGCAATGCCCACTTGTATCATGCCATGTCCCTGTAAAGCCGTCCAGGGTATGACTGTACTTTCTGATAGAGGCAAAGCGATGTTGGCGTACAAGCACCAGGATGAAAGCTTGTTTTCTGGCACATCTTGTCAACCAATGTAGAGTTTTGACTGCATTAATTCAATTCTTTAGGTGCTTGTTACAGGGACCACTAAATGAATCGGGCCTGGATTACCACAGTACAGATTTATTTCAACTTAGACTGTATTCCCACTGGCTTGCTCGCCAGCCTGTCAGACTACTGACTCAAGCGAGTCTCCACAGCTGGGCGCAGCCTCTCCCATCCCCTCGCGGGGTGGTTTTGCTGAACCCATCCGACTACATAATCTTGGTGTTCGTCTTTCAGCTGCTCATGGAGCCTCTTGAACTCTAATATCATTGACTAGCTGCCAGGCGCTCACGTGTGAGCGATTCTTCGTTGTCAATAATTGCACCCTCCTCCTACCCAGCTGATTGTTGTCGTCGTCTTTACCTCCAATATGCCTTCCTACGAATTCCTGTCCCTCGCTACCAAGCCATCCGCTAAGCTATGTTACAGCTTTCAGCCCGCTGTAGGCAAGGATAAGCCAGCTCTAGTCGTTTTTGTAAATGGTTTGGGGCTACCACAGACATCCTGGGAGGGCGCAATCGCTCGCCTGCAAGCTCAGCCTCCCGCTCATGGTCTCCCCGCCCTATTGACCTATGATCGGTACGGTCAGGGCCAAACCGCAGACCGGGACCCTGACGACGTGAAATCTGAGGATCCCATGCATGGTCATGATACGTTGGCCGTTGTTCGAGATTTGCGTCAACTTATTACACAGATTGCTTCGGAGAAGCTGGGTGTATCCGACCTCAGTCGTCTCCCCCTCGTTTTGGTTTCGAACTCGATTGGCGGTGCATTGGTGCGTCTTTACGCGCAGGAATATCCTGGAACAGTAGCAGGACTGCTATTCCTGGACAGTGTGCTCGCCAATTCCGACTTTATCTCTATTTATCCTGACCCTGATGCACCTGGCTTCGACACGGCCAGCTTGCCAGAGGGCGTCTCGGTGGATGCGATCCGTGATGCTCGGGCATACATGCAGCGGGTCTTCCATCCCAGCAATGGCAGCCGTGAGGGCCTCAGTCGGAAGAATTTGGCGGAACTTCTCCCGAACAGCGATGGTCCTAAATTGCAGGGTCCAGATGGTCAGGGCCCGTGGGTGACGGTTATCGGTCACGAGTTCGAGACCTTCAAGGTCGAGCT